GAATTTAACCATTTTATTTGGTGTAATGTGATGTAATATTCACCTCTTGACCAGTACTGACGAAACTTCTGGCAGTGGCACGTTTGCTTCTTTGAGACGTAGGTATTTTGGTAAATATTCATTAAATCGTAGGTGTGCTCTTCTTTCTGCTTTCCCAATATAATCGCTATCACAGATACATGTAAGTCTGTATACACAGAGTTCACATGAGAAGCATATCTGTCGACCTATGATTGCATCACACAGAATACTGTCCGATAATAGAAATCAACTTAGCTTCAGGATAGGTTCTGGTTAGTGAGGCCACAAATCTTTTGTTAACTATTCCTGAACTCTCACATCTTCCACACTTGTTAGTGAATTTCTAAGAGTAACTGTTGTTTTTCAATATCTTTTTGAAGATCAGAAATACTTCCTATATTTTCTTTGTAAAGCATATTCTCCTGGCTTTATCTTTGTTTAAATCTGAACTTTACGTGTTTAGACTATTAAAGCGTAATTTTCTAAAAACCGTTTATTAAGTCTTGAGTTTCTTGTCAAATGAAATCAGGTAAAACTTGCTGTACGCAGCTGATGAGAAGTGATCGAAATAAATGATAGTATCACCATCTTATTCTACACAAACATTTGTTCTTGCTTGGTTCAAATTCATAAAAGGGAATAAATAGTATGAAGAATGATTTTTATTTGAGGCAACTATCACTGCATCGAATATTTGCTGCCTCATGTTTAGCACATTAACTTTTATTGACTAAAGTGACTTACAGTTGTCAGATGACGAAGGGTGGATTCATATTCAGTATTTACCGACTTCTAAACTCAGCTGGTACATCCAGAGTTTCAGGAGTACTTTGAAACATTCTTTCTTTCTGAAAGTATCTATGAACTGCTCAGCTGACTAATTTCCAGTTATTTCGGTTTTCAAGTGAATACATCTGGTAATTGTTTCTTTTTTTGTTTCTTCTCTGAAACTATTTACAGTTACTCCACCTGTTCCTGGTAGACCGATAGTTAAACGAATTGAAGCACCTCTTCAAGTTCAATCAAATGGTAGGCTTTATTCGATAACTTCAGAGAGTTCAAGTCTTTCAAATGGACAGCAGCATAATCATCAGTTGGAGTTAGATTGGCCAAATTATTATAATCATTCGATTAGTGAAAATAATCCCGTGGTATTCCTCATTCAACTTCGTATGTATTCATCTCTTGTACAGACAATACAATCGCCTATGGATAAGCCTGACAGTATATCATTTTTCTCTATGAATAATTTTATGGAACCATTTCAGCCGAATGAATACCTATTTAATAAATGGACTAATTTAATTTGGGTAAGATTGCTTCGCATTTTTTTTCAACAGAAGTCGACATGCATACAAGATGTTAAATATAATATATATTTTTCTTATTAGTTCTTGGTTTACAGGGATTTTATTTGCCTACAGTTTTGATTACGAGCTTACATCAGTTAGAGAACAACTGGAAATTCAGGGAGTACTGAACAGTTGTTTCATCCTGGAAGGAACCTGAAAGAAACAACTTCCTTTACCCACCTGGGAAGCATCGTTTCAACTACAGGCCGGCGGAACTGACGAGGATATCAAAGCAAGAATCCGAAAAGTAAGACAAGCTTTCACTACTCTCAAGTCTGTGTGGAGGTCAACAGCACTCAGCATCAAAAATAAGATCCGGATTTTCAACTCCAATGTGAAGTCAGTCAGTGCTACTTGCTATACGGATCAGAGACTTGCACTGCGCATCATAAAGAGCATCTCAAACAAACTACAGACCTTCATTAACAGTTGTCTTCGCTCAATACTCAAGATCAGATGACCGGCCAGTAAAGATCAGTAACAGAGATCTCTGGGAGCGAACCAACCAGGAACCGATTGTGAAACAAATAGGCAGGAAGAAATGGAGATGGATTGGCCATACTCTGAGGAAACCATCAAGTGACATCACTAGACAAGCCGTTGCTCGAGTGGAACCCGAAAGGGAAGCGGCGAGTTGGTCGTCAGTGCAAGGGTGACTTGGAGGAGGTCATGTGAAGAGATGAAAACGTGTGGGCAGACATGGAGCCAGGTGAAGACTCTAGCGGAGAACCGAACGCAATGGAGACGCACGGCTGAAGCCTTACGTTCCTGTTCGAATTAAAGGATACAATAAATAATAATAATAATAACATGTATACATATAGAACAGCCGTTAGTCTGTGTTATCAGCGAGCAACTGTCCTCTTACCTGACTTGCTGTACCCCACCGGTCGCGGATTTCACTAGAACTTTCGGTGACTTTCTGCATGTTGGCAGTCGCTAGTGAACATCAGGTTAATTTTTCTGGTGTCGATCCACAGGGATTTGATTAGCGTACACTTTTATTTAGTGGCCTGCTTAAAACTTGGGCTAACAAAACTTCCATCTCTCCATGGCATATATTTTCTCTCGTTCCATTTGCTTTAATCGATTAAGATATGACCCTTAATGGTATTGTCTACCCTTGTATGTATTTAAAATGTTTGCAAGCTTCTGTTTCGGTAGATCCTACTAAACTTGAGAAAAGGCCTTATTCTGGGTAGCAACGTATCTTAATACATGAGATAACTGTTCTTCAATTAGGTCTTTGGGTCTCAAAATGTACTTCTGAACATCTTACAAATGACTTTCAACCAGATATCGTGGATTTCTTGAAGAAAGGAAACAAAGCAAGTATATCAAAATGGAATAGTTTGTGCTTCAGTTTAGAGAGCATTGTGTCACAGGAGATACTGACAATTAATATTTAACTTCAAGGTATTGTACGAAGGGAAAATATCATTCAATAAACTCCTGTGAAAATTCTGGACATTTTATAAATACTGTCCAGAACAGAAATGTTACTGGTATATCAGTTAGAGAACCACTGAAATACCATGGAGTACTTGGCACACCTGAAAGGTTTTGAAAACTCGCTACCTTCATCCGTGGATATTTTTTTCTTAAATGTCAGTAATAAATAGATATCTGTGAAAAGTTTGGAAGGGAGGAAAGGTGCTTACTAATAGGAAGAAAGACTGCCATGTCAAACTACCAAAGAAGGACGACTTGAGCCACTACAAGAACTTGCGTGGAACCATACTGTTCACCATATCAAGCAAAATATTAAGTCGTGTCATCTTGGAGAGGCTAAAAGATGTATTGGATGCGAAAATTCTAATAAAACAAGCTAGAATTAGGAAATGCAAATAAAGTAATTATCAAATTGCAGCTCAATGCATCATCATCAAACAGGGCATAGAATATCAGTCAAACCTCTACATCAGCTTCATAGTCTTCGAAAAGGACTTTGATAGCGTTGACTGAGAAGCAATTTGTAAACTACTTCAACATTATGAAGTGCCTCAGATCTTTATCAACCTCATCCAACAACTATGTGAAAATGCCACATTTAATGTGATCCACAACGGAGCACTCAGCGAAGCCTACGGAGTGAATACAGGAGTAGAACAAGGCCGCCTGCCTACTATCACCAGTAATATTTCTAATCGTGGCGGACTGGATTATGCTGCAGACTGTGAAAAGCGAGAAGACCGGAATACCTTCAATCTATGAGGAGACTCTAGAAAATCTGTACTTCACAGACGATTTATGTCTACTGCCACATAAGTACGAAGACTTCTAGTGAATATAGCGAAGACAGAGGTGATGAAGATAAGCAACCAACAACAGCAAGCACAAATCACCATCAATGTGAGAAATTTGAAAGAGGTTACTCCTCTGATTTATCTAGACGTCACCGTTTCAACTACAGGCAGATGACAGTCAGGATTAGAAGGTCAAGACAGGCCTTCATCAGTCTGAAGATGTGCTTCACTCAGCATAAAGAACAAGATTCGGATTTTCAGTAATAATGTCAAGTCACTTGTGGCTACTATATCGTTCAGAGACTTGCTATGTGTATCACGGAAAGCAATTTAAACAAGCTATTGCAGAGTTTTATTGACAGCCTCTTTCGCTGGCTCCATACTGAAGATGAAATGGTCGGCCGGCGAGAAAGAATTAGCAACGAGAATCTCTAGGAACCGAGAAGCTACTTCTCAACAGATATTCTAAATAAAATGGAAACGGATTTGACGGACAGTGAGGAGACACTGGGCAGCCCCTCGAGTGCAACCCGAATTGGGAACGACGAGTTTGGTATATGTCCGAGAGTGACATGAAGGAGATCATGTGAAAAGATTAAAGTTCATCGGGAATCATATGGACAGCTGAAAAGGACTGCGGAAAACTGTACAAAACGGACACTTGCTATAGAAGCCCTATATTTCACTCGAAACCCAGGTGAATAATGATAATAACAGTAATGGTAATAACTAACAAATATCAAGTCGTAAGTATATCCATAGTCTTTCACAAGTGAATAAGTCGATTACTTTACCAGCAAAATATACACCAGTTGCCTTTTTCTAAACAGCATGATAAAATGAATTAAATTATTTTACATCAAAAATTTTGTTATTCGCAGCACAGAAAATGGATGAATTTCAACATACTAAAAGTTAATTATGTTAAAATGCTAATAATTAATTTTGCAGAACTTATTTAACAACTGTGAACATCAGTTTTGCATGTTGTGAAGGATATTCACTTGCTTAATTTAATTTATTCAAGTTATTTATTAAATTATTGTTATTCCTTTGGGTTCCAAATGGAATATGGAACTTCAACAGCACACCTCCAATTTACTCTGTTCTCTGCAGTCCTCGTTACCTGGATCCGCCATTATCCATTAGATCCCCTCTCCTCCTCAGAGAATCTCATCCATTTCACCCTCAGACACACGCCCAACTCTCCGTTTCCTATTAGGTTTCTATTCAAGGGGTTGTCTGGAATGCAGTGTCACTCAACGGTCTCCTTAGCATGCACCATTTGTTTATTTAAAGGGCTATCAGGGTTGGCACAGAATGTTGTCATTAATAGTAGCAATCTTTGGCCTACTTTTAAAGTTGCATTAAAGATAATGGTTAGCGTTTCATTGAAAGCTCTGATATCAGCAAGTAGCCTAGAGTACATCATTGAAACATTCATTTTCTGAGGTATAAATATCTCCAACCACTTCACAAAGTTTAATCAAATTTTAAAATCGTCTTATTTAGAAGAATTTAAGCGAAGATGATGGTACTTAGTGCTTCGCTTCTTAATTAAGATGTGTATAAGACCGAGTGCTTTAGTTGTAGAATTCTCGCCAGCCACAGAGGAGGTTCGTGCTGGATTCCAAACCGACACACTCACAAACCTCACCTAGTTTACCAGTTGGTAGTTAGACTGGAAAAGAAGGAGGATTGGGCACGAGGCCTGCCACTCCAAATCTCAAAAAAAACACCACCTTTACAGAAACTTCAAAGCCGGAAACCCAGTGTTCCCCTGGGAATTCAAGGATTTAAAACAAGCTTGGCAAGGAATAATCTTATAAAATGGGCCAGCCTAAAGCATTCAGACAGGGGGGTGTCGATGCACCAATGAATCTGAATGCATGCCTTTTGTTGGATCACAGAACCTACCACTATTATGTCGTCCCTATGAATACAATACCCAAAATGTTGTGAAATTTCATCGCGATATCGATTTTAAGTACTGTTTGATTAAGTGGTTGACAGCACGTCAGAGTTGGGGTAAAGGTTAGGGAATGCGTTAGGGTTGGGATTAGGGTTCAGGTTTAAATTGATGTTAGGATTAGGATTAAATAGGAGATTAAGGCAACGGTGTTTTATCTGTATTTTTCTTGTAAATAGATAAATGCGGTCATTGTTCATATGGACGGAACCAATTCGATAAATAATAAACCTGAGAACTTATACCCTTCATTGTAATTGGGACGCACTTTTAAGTCACGTTTAATGTGTTTCATAATTATTATGTATATATTTCTTGTAAGTAAATGGCTTTCTGTGTAACATACACGGCTTTCTGTCACTGGCCACTTGAAGATCATTGGTGCACTGGCACTCTGTGGTCGCCATCCTTTATGTTCGACCATAGAAGGTAACTTCCTAGCCTTGATGCGATAATAATCACAATTGTTGGTGGAGACCGATTTACTCAGATGAGTTGAGACTGTGAAGTGGTTTTTATTATTTTGATTACTGTGATCAAATTTGTTGAAGTTTTTCATCATTAATTCCACTTTATTTGTTCACTTTCCCTACAGACAACAAAACTTGGAGCTGTCCTCTCCGATTTGAATCCAGGCACATGGTATCAGTTTCGTTTGTTAGCTGTTTCAAGTGAAGGTTTTGGAGGTTGGGGTGAGCCTAGTGAACCTATTCGTACACAAGTCCAGCTAATTCCACCATCTAGACCTCGAAATCTTACTGAAATACGCTCAAGAATATTTGACAATCATGTTGATAGTACAATTTATTGGGATGCTCCAGAAGAAAGTTTATTTCCTTTGAAAAAGTATCAAGTAAGGCTGATTGTACAGTGAATGTTTTTTTCTACGTGTATGTTTTATACTCGAATAAGTGTTATCTTAATCGTATTCATAAAATTTCTTCAACAAGCAGAATGGCAATTTGATAAACCCTTCCTCTAGGCTTTATTAACAAAATACTCATTTTTCAAAAGAATGGATACTGAACAAAGAATACTCTTTTCGATAACTTCATCATCAGGCTCTACAGTTATATATACATTATAGTGAATAAATGAATTAGCGTTATGAACAACATTAATGTTTAAATAACATCGAATCAATAATATCGATAGATTACAGCTCAATGGCATCAACATAAAATAAGCTGAATGTCAGAAAAATTAGGAAAGATAATAATACAAATTCATGAATTTATAGTCTCTGCTGAAGGCCAGGGGAGTAGTAGGGGCTAAACTTGCTTCTTTTGAACACAGAGCACTGGTTGTTTGAGGCGAATTGCAATAGCCTCTGCTGTTTGGAGTATGCAGTACTTCGGTGTTTTTGGCAATTTATTTGGCACCCGGTAGATTATAGAGAAGGATTCTTCCACGCTGGCTTTGTGGCCGGTTTGCACCAGATGGTCCAATATCGAACTGTTAACGGTTTTCACTACACCTTTAATAAGCCATACTGGAAGATGTTCTCGAGTAAACTCATTCAACAGACTTTAATTAGCCCTACTACAGTGCGCTTCTTTTCATCCCTACAGTATTAACATTCTGTGACATTCGAGCAGTTAGGCGAAACAGAACAAAACAGTTATCACCCTCAAAATCTTTTGTATCACATTAAAAGTATCCACACTTATGTTGTCTTAACTTTTGGAAAATGGATTTATCCTTCACAATCAATTACTTAATTTATTTGAGTAAAAATTGAATATGTGAACTGAACTGTCTATTTAAACGTCCCTCTCAAATTTAATACATCACATTTAAATTCATACATCTTTGAAAATATGTTATATAACACACAGCAGCAAACATCACTATGTAATCATTTTTAGCTAGAGATGGTACATGCGATCTAGTGAAGAGTCTTTTGAAATAACAGATTATAACAATCACTTCATTTGATATCAACTACAATAGCAATAACCCAATAAATCACAAAAGAAACTGTGTGAAAACATTGTTTAAAAGGGTCTGAAAACACTATTTCCACCCGAAGCACTGAAAACGGACCCAGAGAGTGCGGAAGATACGCTCACGCCATTATTGCAAAAGATTTGGAAGGAAGGAAAGGTGCCTACTGACTGGAAGAAACGCTGGCTACCTTGTCGAGCTGCCGGAAAAGGGCAACGTACGCCCCTGCAAGAACTGGTGTGGAATAATGCTCTTGTCCATGGCAAGTGAAATACTAAGTCGCATCATGCTGGAGAGAATAAAAGACGCACTGGATGCAGAACTCCGCCTCAAACCCGGAACAAACTGGATTCAGGAAAGGCAAATCATATACTGATCAAATTGCAACTTTACGTATCATCATCACAGAACAAAGCACAGAATGGTAGTCGAACCTCTACCTCAACTTCATCGACTTCGAAAAGGCTTCCGACACCGTTCACCGAGAAGTAATTTGGAAACTACTTCAACACCACAGCGTGCAGTGTTCAAGTCTACACCAAGCTCATTCAACAGCTGACTATATGACAATGCCTGCCACGTGTCAGGTGATCCACAACGGAAAACTCAGTGAGGCGTTCGAAGTGCATACAGAAGTAAGACTTGGCTACCTGCTTACTATCACTGATGATATTCCTAACTGTGGTGGACTGGATTATGCGTCAGGCTGTGAGTTGGGAGTGGAGTCAGAAATATGCTGGACCACCCATAAGAAGACTCTAGAAGATCGATATTTCGGAAATGATATATGTCTAATGTCACACAAACTCGAAGACTTACCGGCAGGCGAAAACCAACAAAATGCCTGAAGAGGAAGTGCAGAGAAGACAGAACTGCAGGTGAACATAGAGAAGACGGAGGTGAATAAGATTACCAATCAACAGCAACAGCAACAACAACCAGCACCAATCATTATCAACGGGAGAGATTTGAACGAGGTTACTTCCTTCACTTATCTGGCCAGGAAGCACGGTTTCAACCACAGGCAGTCGGAATGGATGAAGATGTCAAAGCCAGCCAGCCAGAATCGGAAAGGCAAAATACGCCTTCATCAACCTGAAACCAGTTTAGAAATCTTCTGCATCTCACCTCAGCACAAAGAACACGATTCTGATTTTCAACACAAATGTCAAGTGAGCCAGTCACTGCTTCTATATGGATCAGAAACTTGCACTGCACTTGAGTCACGAAAAGGATTTCCAAAAAGTTACAGACTTTTATCAACAGCTGCTACCTTCGTTGGCTGGCTCCATACTGAAGATCAAATGGCAGGCCGGCCGGGCAGAAAGAATTAGCAACAAGAAACTCTGACTGACAGTGAACTAACCAAGAGCCTATTGCTTAACAAGTATGTCAGAGAAAATGAAGATGGATTGATTGGGCATACGCTGAGGAGGCCGTCAAATTAAATCACGCTCCAGGCAACACCTCGAGATGTATTCAAATGGGAAGCGATGAGTGTCTTGTCAGTGCGAGGGTGACATGGAGGAGATCGTGTGGTGAGGAGGAGAAATTATGATCAGTCATGAACCCAGCTGAAGAGGACGGCAGAAAATAGAACAAAGTTGAGGTGTGTTGCTGAGGCCCTATGTTCCACCCGAAACCCAAGGGAATAATAACAATAAACACACTGTAGTACTCCGGTGTTGAGGAGAAGGGAGGAGAAATACCTACTAACTGTCTTCAAAAAGAATGAATACTCATATAATTTCATGAAAAAGTGTTTAAACTCAATTCGTGACACCAACAGGAAACCATCATCAAAAACCACAAGAAAATTCACTCTACCATATATAGAGAATATCTCTGAAATAACGGCTAGAATAATAAGACCATTTGAAATAAACGCAACACACAAATCAACACAATCACCTCATTCAATATTGTGTACACCAAAAGATCTAAAAGAAAAAGAAGACAAGATTAACACCATTTACAAAATACATTGCATGAACTGTGATAAACACTACGTTGGTCAAAGTGGACCCCGACTCAGAATCCAAGAACATAAACTAGCTGTGAAAAGGCACGACATGTATTCTTTCATACCGATACATTTAGATAATTGTGGACACCAGTTTAATTAGAATAATGCAGAAATTTTAAGCATAGGAAACACCAACAGTAGTACCAGAAGATTTCTAGAATCCTGGTACTGAGATGAATCAGCGATTAACAGACACTCTCCTTACTATAGATCAAATTTGCCGACTAATAAAGAATAAATGAGATGGCAAGAGAATTCGAATTCCAATCAATAAAGATGTAAATAAGTAACCAATCACGTCAAAGGTTTTCATGAGATACAACTATATCATTCATGGAGAGTTCAAATAAGTTCACTTGATATTGAAGCTTCCACTGAAGCGATGCTGTCTAAAAGAACAATGAAAGAACCACAATTGAATCAGCTAGCTCAGAGAACCCAACTAAATCAAAATACGAGTCTCTTTTCAACAAATTCATCATCAGGTTGTACAATCGTATATATGAACTGTGACAACAAATATTTGATCGTGTACAATATCACCACTTGTTTGGTAAATTGTTGTGTATTGTAAAAATGCTATACATATTAGAGTGGAGCCAGAGAAGAGGATCTAATTGAAAAGTAAATATTTCTTCGCTCAATCTTTCTGTTTTCCAAATATAGCAGATGTAGTCCTGATAGTGTAGAGATAGAGTTAGTTAATTCTTCTAAGACAAAATCCCAGTGGAAAACAGGTTCCGTCCATGTTTTATAGACAAGAACGAAGTGGTGCAAGTGGAGATACAAGAAGCGCAATAATTGTACATCTGGTCGATACTGGTAACCTTATTTCCAAAGCCTCTTCCTTTAAAGTTACAAGGCGAAAAATAACTTGCCCATACCACTACATATTTGACTTATCTGTATTGCTGAAGCTTCGCTCATCGAAGTAGAAAAGTCAGATGTCTGAATGTATTCAGAAAATGTATTCAATCCCTTCAACTCTCATGGTCTCAGCTCAACTATGCTGAAGTATGATAATCCCCAATTCAGACCCTACTTATTTTTCGCTTTGTTTATTCATTTTGTACATCCATCCCTTTATTATCACGGCGATTGTTATTACTACTTTCACTTGTACAATTTCCGATATTATCTCACTTCTCACTCTTATTGATTTCATTCAATGTAATTTTTGCAATGTTGTAATGTCATAATTACCACCTTGTTGCCTAACGTCCTAACTGCCTACTAATCTTATTATTTCCACACCCTTTTAAGACTTATTTATTTCACAAAATATTTTATAATGTATATAACCAACTATTTTCTGTTACAATCCACATTCTTATTATTAAAAATAATCATATTTATTTATATATACGTACGATTGTACAGCATGATGATAAATTCGCCGGAAAGAGACTCTTCGCTGAACCACTTGTCGCTACGACTAAAACCCACTCATCGTAGTGTGAGCTCAGGAAACCGATCTCTGGGTCCTACTGTACTGCTGACAAAACTCACTTGAAACACAGCCAGTCACAAAATGCCCCTAAAAACAGCAAAAACAAAAACAAACAACCAATACTTGAAAATAAATCTGATGCCCACTAGTGACTGACCCTATTCAGGTAGGTAGTTACCTGGGGTTCTGGTGGGAAGCCGCGACCAGTAGACTACAACAGATTGAAGGTGAGGCAGTAACTCATCGAAGAAGACACAGCGAAGTGGCAGAAGTTAGAGTTCGTGGGCAATTTGTTCCTGTCCCAGTAGCTTAATGGTCGGCGAGCTCGCTAGCCTTGTAACCAGAAGGTCGCGGTTTCGAGCCCTGATGGTGGGTGCGTACTAATGAAGAGTGCCAAAATAGGCTGACGAAACAGCTGTCCAGTACTCCTTGTTGGTTTTCAATGGTTCTCTAACTGATGCCAGCTCATGATGAAATCCTCCAACTAATCAAACACAATCCCTATACAAAAAAAAACAACCAATACTTGAAATGTATTCTGCAGTAAATTTGCGGTTCTGTTAAGCAGTAATGACATCAAAATCTCTAAGTACAAAACGAGTACTTAGATTCAAGTAGAATATTTTCAATTAGGTGAGATCAGAAACTTTGTCCACTGGAATCTTACACCAACGTTACGGCCGAAAGTCCAGGGAGAGAATGACTTTGATTCACATAAATAAACCCACACATCGTTAAACAACATATTGTCAATGTACGCATAAATACAAAGAGAAGCACTAAAATTAGAAGCTAAGCAAAGACAAAGAAAAATAATCCTGATCAAATCAGCATGTAATATACAAATACATATCAGGACAATGTTACGCCAGTCCAGGAGAAAAACGGGTAATAATTACAAAGTTGAAACGTCCAAATAATTATAAATATTGTGATTAGATCGACCAAGAGGGATATTCTAAACAACCTTTCTGTTACAATTGGTTTAATTAACTACTCAAACACCAAGACGCCTCTCCTGATAAGTAGACAATTACTGACCACATATCATTGTACTGCTCACTGAGTATCAGAATAATCGTTTTCGTCTCCAATGTAAAGTTACATGAAGTTCTAAATGTTCATGAGATTTACGTAGAGTTTATTCTCATGGACTGAAATCCTTGTAAGCAGGAAATTTCCCATTAGTGACTACAAATCATTATCAGTTGGGATAACATTTCCAATATGAACCTCTACCTATTCTAAGTATACGAATACGTATGTCATTGTAAAAAAATATTCTCAAATAAAACTTTAACTTTGATGTTTGTATGTCTTTCATTAAAACAGATAACATGGCGTCAATATTATGCATTTAATGGAGAGGACAGAAGTTCTTTGACCGAATATTCAGCGAATGTACCTGCAGTAAGTTAATTAATACTTATATTATTTTAATATGCTTGACTGTTCAACAGACAGCATTCTGATCGAAATGTTTTTATCTTAGAATATTATGTAATTACTATTCTATATATCATTGTAACGAAATTATTTATTGGCAACTCAATGTACAGATATTACCAAAGTTTTCACATATCTTCCATATTGTACTACTTCTGTCTTCCTTACGTGTTTTCTTCGTTGTTTCACAAGCATCGTTTAACTTTATGATCTTTTTACCTTAAAGCTATTGTATGTATCAGGCTGTCTATGACTGAAGAGAGGCCTTGAAATAATGTGGGCACACTTTATACTGCTATCCCGTTAAAACTTTGACGAATTTAAATTTCAGTTTTGAACATGATTTGACTTCATTTAACGAACCATTGAGAACCAACAGGATGTATTGGATAATTGTTTTGTCCTTGTCCTGGACTCTCCACAGTGTGTACCCATGACCACACGAGGAATCGAACCCAAGACCTTTAGGTTACAAGGCGAACTCGTATATCATTCAGCCACTCCGACGAAATCTAATGGTCTATCAATTCTAATTTCTGCCTGTTCGCCATATAGTGGGACTAGCAAATGAAATCGCTGCAAACCAACAATAGTGACTCACTGCATAAGGTTCTAGAGGGAAGTCGTGATCAGCGAGGTCTACTAAGTTGGGCGTGACACTAGCTGGTGGTCGTGCCATATCGCGCATTGACAGAAGTCAAAATAGATGGACTATTGGATTCCGTCCAGTGGCTGAATGGTATACGAGTTCGCCTAGTAACCTGAAAGTTCTGAGTTTGATTCCTAGTGGAGTCATGGGTGCGTACTGCCAAAGAATCCCAAACAAAGACGTGACAGCTGCCCAATACTCCCTGGTTCTCGATGATTCTTTAAATGAAGTTAGTCCGTGATCCAGACAAATAATTTCTTAAGGCATGAATATATTCTCTACAGATGACGAAGTGAATTTCATTCACATTTGTTTCTACTTAACTGCTTTTCGCTCTGAGTGGGAGTTATGGCTCCAATCTTTGAGTTCTGAGGTTTTAACATCGGTGGTATTTTCACGGGGTAGGGTTTCACTAGCTTCACACTCCCAACCTCCATTCCTGTCCAGTCTTCTCACCGGCAAATAAAATAGACATGGTTTAGTGTAACATCAGAACACAAGAGTATTTGGCAATGGCATTACTTATTGCTAACTCGATGTACAGATATAGGCAAAGTACATCTACCATACACTAAAATCACAATTTGCACATGTCTTCCGTATTGCGCTACTTTTTTCTTCCTTTCATGTTTACCATGTTGTTTCATAGGTGTCGTTTAACTCTTCTTTCCGCCATTAAATTCACCCCTCAACCACTGAATATTTTTGCAGATGATATACAATATTTATGTTTGTATCTATATACTACTTATAAATCTTATCAGCAGCACACGCCCCTTCATTTGTTTGGTATTTGAAAGAAATACGAAATAAAGAGTTGAAATCGAGTTCTACACTTGCCAGATAATGATTGCTGCTTTACGCACAACATTAATTTAGCTGTGTTTCGCTCTAAAAGAATGCACTCTGAAGTCACACATCAGTGATAAGTGGAATGTCATTAAAAAGTCGCACCCCCCCCCAAAAGGACCAGCTTTGTTAACGTAGAATATTCGCCACATAATACGCAGATATTTATCACCGTCTTAGCAAATCACTAAACTACTAATTACTTTCCTTACACTTGACTTCTTTAAAAAAAATTTCAATAAAGAAAAAAAGAAAGACCGGATTTACAGTATAAAATGATACCATCATTCTATTTCACACAGGTTCCCAGTTTCAGTTAACTACAGACTGCCCTATAAATTAAAATGGTTTCGAAAAAATGACAACAACATACTTCAATGTTAAAAAGAGCAGTAGAGGAAATGTTATCAAATTAACTCATCCGAAATGTAATCATTAGAATATTTAGTTGAAGTCACCATCAATTTATGTGTTTTCAGAGTAGAAAATGAGTAAGAGAGAGGCACTGAAAACAGAAAACAGAAACAGATTATTAAATATTGTCAGCTCATTAGTTCACATAGCAACTCAAGAAGGAAACAGTTCATAAAAATTGAAATTCAAAGGAGAAGCAGTATTACAAAAGACTGATAAAAGAATGAAAGAAGAAATAAAAAGATACTTCCCTGCGGCTGAACTCGTAACACTATGCACAAGCACATGCTCACTAAACCAATCTAAACGGGATAAGTACCCCACTGATATCACCTTCAACTACGTTTGTAAACTTACGTGCAAGAACATTGAAAGGACAGAAAGAAGGGATTCTATCTCCCTTTCTCAGCATATCCTAAGAAACTTATGCCTACAAAGGAAGCAGATATTTGCAAGCGCTATCATCATACGTACTGTGTCTACTAATCATTTCATCGAGATCCCCATTTTTTATTCCTTTACGTTCCTAGTGGAAGCTTCAGTAACAGTGGTGTTTGTTTTTACGGGATGATGTTGCTAGTCTCATGCCCAATCTTCTCTATTTACCAGTCTTATTACTAGCTTAGCAAGGTGAAGGAGTGCGTCGTCGGTCGGGGACCGAACCCTGAACCACATGCGTGGTTGGAGAGCATTCTACCTCTGTGTCACCGACGCCACCGAGATCTCCATATCATTCAAAATACTAAATATGCAAAGGACAGCAAATTTAATGGATTTTCTGAAGCGATTACAATCAAACGATTCAAACCAAACATATGCATACAGAAAGAGAATGTAATCAATCTCTCATTCCCTTGGTAACTGCGTTCTGATGAAACTGATTAATCATCCATTATTAGTGATTTCATCTCACTGAGCAAATTTTGGTCTTGTGAACTAAAACCTTCGTGAATTTCTAAGTCAACTTAGAAGCTAACACTATTTATTAGATTCTCTCGCTTTCTGTCCTTGCCTTCCCATCTCTCGTTTTCTACTTTGTAAGGCATATAAATTAACGGTAACGTAAACTAAAAATTGTAATTCTTAAATTTTGGAGGAGTTAATTTTTATAATATTTCCTCTATTACCATTCAAACAGTGAAGAATGTTATTTCCACTGTTTTATAATCATTTTAATTTCACGTGGTCTGGAGTTAACTGATGAGAACCTGTGAGAAATCGAATGATGGTATCATTTTATACTAGTTGCTTATCAAAGCCAAATTAGTTGAATTGATGCATGGAACTAAGGCAGTTCATAAATATCTGTCACTGAAGTAATGAAATTAAGATCACATGTACTGAAAATTTAAATTAGTATGACTTAGCTGAACAATGACAAAAACACTAATTACTAGTGAATAGAAGCCCTAGAGGTGTGTAATCTACTACTAATATATGACAAGCACACAACAGAGGATTGGAGACTACTCTACCTCATAGAAACTGGTGATATATTCAGCTTCAATTTTTTCCTATTCTTTGAAAATCCTATAATTTATTCATTTACATACTACACATGTTTAATATTTTACTATTTTCTTGTA